AGATAGGATAGATAGGATAGATAGGATAGATAGGATAGATAGGATAGAAAGGATAGATAGGATAGATAGGATAGATAGGATAGATAGGATAGATAGGATAGATAGGATAGATAGGATAGATAGGATAGATATAGATAGGATAGATAGGATAGATAGGATAGATAGTAGATAGATAGATAGATAGATAGGATAGATAGGATAGATAGGATAGATAGGATAGATAGGATAGATAGGATAGATAGGATAGATAGGATAGATAGGATAGATAGGATAGATAGGATAGATAGGATGGATAGGATGGATAGGATGGATAGACATTACACTGAATGACACAGCACCACAGATAGACAGGTAGACAGATAGATAGATAGATAGATAGGCAGATAGACAGGTAGACAGGTAGACAGCTAGACAGATAGACAGATGAAAGGGAGAGATAGATAGATAGACAGATAGATAGATGGATAGATAGATAGATAGACAGATAGATAGATTGATAGAAGGCTAGACAGATAGATAGATAGATGGATGGATGGATGGATGGATGGATGGATAGATAGATGGATAGATAGATAGATAGACAGACAAATAGATAGAGAGACAGCTAAATAAAAAGATAGATAGATAAATAGACAGATAGATAGATAGATAGATAGATGCATGGATGGATAGATAGATAGATAGATAGGGAGATAGATAGGTAGATAGATAGATAGATAAATAGGTAGATAGGGAGATAGATAGACAGACAGACAGATAGATAGGTAGACAGATAGATCAGTAGGTAGGTCGGTAGATAATCAGAGAAAGATAGAGAAACAGAGAGAAAGAGAGAGAAAGAGTGTCGCTCTGCCATCCCTGATTCTCAACAACCAAGCTCTCCTATAGGTTTCCTATTTTTGAAACTTCCGCCACCGGCTTGTGCGGTAGCACTGGTATTATTATAAAATATATATTTTAATATCCAAAAAATATATTTAATTAAGAACCAATTTATTCCAATTCAATAAATATACAAAATATATATTATTTTTTAAAAAAATATACCGTAATTTTACACAATAGATTAGTTTTTATTTCATAGATAATATTCCCCAAATATTTACAATTCTTTAAAAAAAATATATAAAAATTCAAAATCAAATTCAATATTTAAAATTGTTCAAAATACATTCAATCAAGTTTTTTATATTTATTGTTCCTATTTTGTTAAATTATTTTGTGTTATATATTTTGGATCAATATATTTTTTTATTGTTTTTCCAATAATTCTATATATCGTTTTTTTTTCATTAATCATATTTGGAAATGTGTCCTCTTTTTGAGGATCGAATGGATTTGGATTTCTTCTGATCGGTATAAGCCGAGAAAATCACCAGACTAGCCTGCGAGCTATAACTTCCCTCAGCAGGACTTCAACCATGAAATGTGTTAAATCGTAGGGTTGGGACAGTCTTGAGTGCCCTTCGGTTCAGTATGGTTCAGTTTTTCATGCATGCAAAACGTGTGGACATAATGAATTATTCAAAATCGATCACCCCAACATGGTCGCCAACCCCAACAAGTTGCTTTGCCGCCAGTCTCCCTGCAAAGGGGATTGTGGGCAAGGTCCTGTGTTCCCCTTGTCAGTAAGAATCACAGGTGTTCAATGCGAGGAATTCAATTCTTGCAATTATAAAATTGATGAAACGGCGAATGAAATCGCGCACGCGTCAGAACTTCAACGCCTCTCATGACCAAGCTTCCACGGTGTAACCTCGACAGGTGAATGAAGACCCCAAGACAAACAGAGCCACTGAAATCATCCACTTACGATTTACTTCAGCCACTGACCTCATTGATCTTCGGATTCTGCTGTTCTTTACTCGTTTAAATGCTGTGCAATCAGTTACAGTGCGGATCGGATCACCGAGGAACGTCCCTCCATCTTCAAATTGGACAAAATCGCTTCAGCATCTTCCTCCCCGCAGCGTTCGTGGGCCATCATCACCTGTCGCCAGGTCCAGAGGTTGTGAGTAAAATCCATGGTGGTTCACCCAAGTCAGTGGGTTATGCCCCCAATTCCAACTGGACCCTACCTACTTTTGGCAACTGTCTGGTCCTTCGTCAACTCACCCTGGCAACTGAAGAGTTCACTGCCACCATTGCCTCCTTCATCGCTGTGTAAATGTCTTCAGGCACTTGCCGAGCGGAGCCACAAACGTAGAAGTGGCCTGAAGCGGTCGCTGTGCAGTGGAAGCATAGGCCTAGGCCTGGGTGTTTTAAATATCTTATTGCGATGAGGGGAGAAAAACACTAAAACACTACATAAATCAGTTTCCTGTAAACCGGTTTGCCCGAAGACTCGGTATGCCCGAAATCAACAAGTTATATAATCGAATCATCATAATCCCTGCCAAGATTGCCATTGATTGGTATCGGACGCACCCAAGCATCCCTATATCGGTTAAATTGTATCCCCAGAGTGTATCTCATTCCTTTCCCATTCTGGTTTGTTTAACTCCCACTAAACTGGTTTTCATGTATAGTATAATTATTCAATAAAACCTATGTAATCATAGTATATATATATAATTATATATATAATCTATATACGCTATTGTATGTTATTGTAATATACCCAACCGGCTATAATTTATATATATATATATTATAGATATATATATATATATGATTTTTAATGATTATCTACACGTAATATGTTGTACCTTACAGACCTCAATTTTAACTAAGATACCCCCCAATCGTTCCCTTATCCGGAAAACGCCGGTGCCTCCCTCGTTCAGCATCCTCTGTGCCACGTCATTGCCAGCCTCAACCGCTGTTGGCCAACGGCATATCTTAGCACCAAAAAATGTGGATCATCAAAAAACATCCTGGAATCGGAACCTCAAGAGAGCCCACACACATGGAATGGTACATGGAATGGTACATGTTAGTATCAAACCATGGACTGTGGAGGTACAACAAGCCCCCCTGAGATGCAACTGGTAAGTCTCGAGCATTTGGGTGTTAGTATTGAAACAACCATGATAACTTCGGGATCCCCCATGACTTAGGAAACCTCCATTTCCTGCAGAACTGAAACCATGCGCCTCCACAATTCTGTGCTGCACATAGATCTTTCGGGCCTGCACCATGATGCTGGCTCCATCAAAACCGGCCCCAGGATCCCTGGGCCATCTTCTAGACCTCTGTTGCCGCGTTGACTCCTACTGTTAAGTATGTAAAGTGATAGTGAATCATCGAAGGAAGTTTAGAAGTCAAACTTCCGACAATATGGACAGATGAAAAGCAGAGCAGGGAAGAGGCAGAGAGAAGAGAAAGATTAGAAGAAAGAAGAGTAAGAAGAAAGAAGATGCAGATGCGCGAAAAGGTAGGAAAGTCGCGAAACACTGTGTTTTTCCAATGATTTGGGGCTCCGGAGGCTCGAAAAGTAGGCTCGCTAAAGCGGCGGGTGCGGAGGCAGCTGGCCAGATGAGAGATGAAAAATTGCACGCCGTTGTGGCGCGAAGCACATTTCAAAGTCAAAATGTACAAAACACCTCAGCGTCGGACCACTTTTGGAAGTTGAGATGTCAAAAAAGTGCACGCCGTTGTGGCGCGAAGCACATTTCCAAGTCAAAATGTACAAACCACCCCATGTTCGCGCCACTTTTGGAGGTTCGGATGTTGAAAAAGTGCACGCCGTTGTGGCGCGAAGCACATTTCGAAGTCAAAATGTACAAAACACTTCAGCGTCGGACCACTTTTGGAAGTTGCGATGTCGAAAAAGTGCACGCCGTTGTGGCACGAAGCACATTTCGAAGTCAAAATGTACAAAACAAACCATGGTCGGAGCACTTTTGGAAGTTGAGATGTCGAAAAAGTGCACGCAGTTGTGGCGCGAAGCACATTTGGAAGCCAAAATGTTAAAAACACTAGGGGTTCGGACCACTTTTGGAAGTTCAGATCTCGAAAAAGTGCACGCCGTTGTGGCGCGAATCAAATTTGGAAGTCAAAATGTTAAAAACACTACGGGTTCGGACCACTTTTGGAGGTTCAGATGTCGCTTCGCTTCACTGCACTACACTACATTACACTACACTACACTCCACTACACTACACTACACTACATTACATTACACAACACTACAACTACAACTACAACTGCACAACTACACTCCACTACACTCCACTACACTAAATTACACTACACTACATTACACTACACTACACTCCACTACACTACACTACATTACACTACACTGCACTACCTTCCACTACACTTCACTACATTACACTACACTCCACTACACTACAACGACAACTACAACTACACAACTACACTCCACTACACTACACTACACTAAATTACACTACACTACACTACACTCCACTACACTACACTACATTACACTACACTACCTTCCACTACACTTCACTACATTACACTACACTCCACTACACTACAACTACAACTACGACTACACAACTACACTACACTACACGATATTACACTACACTACACTACACTACACTACACTTCACTACACTACACTACACTACACTACATTCCACTACACTCCACTACACTACACTACATTACACTACACTAAATTACACTGAATGACACTGCGCCACAGATAGACAGGTAGACAGGTAGACAGATAGACAGATAGACAGATAGACAGATAGACAGATAGACAGACAGACAGACAGATAGATAGATAGACAGGTAGACAGCTAGACAGATAGACAGATGAAAGAGAGAGAGAGAGATAGATAGATAGATAGATAGACAGACAGACAGATAGATAGATAGATAGATACATAGAAGATAGGCTGGTAGGTAAGTAGATAGTCAGAGAAAGAGAGAGAAAGAGAGGAGACCTCAAGCACCTTTCGGTCCATCAGTGGATTCGCTCTGCCATCCCTGATTCACAACAGCCAATCTCTCCTATAGGTTTCCTATTTTTGAAACTTCCGCCACCGCCTTGTGCGGTACTACTGGTATTTCAAGCGAAACTAACTAGAATATCCGGGATATCAATGATCTCATTTGGAAAATGTTAATTCCCCTTTGCTGCAAAAATCTCCCACCGTGGCACCATGAAACGTCGCCTGTTCCCGGGAGAAGGCCGTGTGCATCTGCAGCACGCCCTCGGCCTCATAGCCTTCGAACTCGTCACGGTACAGCCACTCCTGCCCCAGCACCGGAGCTGCTGGAGCTTGTGTCTTCAGGCTATGGGGCCAAGTGGCCCTGAGACCAGATTTGGGCCAGTTTTAGTGGGAACGCAAAAACATGGTAAAACTGTGAAACATCACATGTTTATACATTTTTTGGTGTAGTGCGCTGTACTTTTTTCAAGAACCCATCAGCAAATGGGCAAAACAAATGGGTCATCTTATTCTGGAGCCGAACCACAACCAGCAACGCCAGCAACGCCAGCAACGCTGGACCGCGGCACCTGCTTGTACCTGGCGCCAAAGAAGAGCATGCATTTCCCAACGTCGATGCCCTGGCGTTTCTGCATCACCCGCTCCTGGGAGATGGCGGGAACGGGGTGACCTGGTGGCATCAACTGGGACCCCCTTCAGCTCCTGCGTCACAGCACGCCATGGTGCCAAGCCTGTACCCATGCCAGCCATGATCACAGGCTTCTGAGGCTCCTTGAGAAGCAAGTCACATCCCCCGCTGCTATTGTGAGTTTGAAGGATACTTGTGGGATGATAAATTTGCTGCAGCGGTTCTTGAAGAACCCTTGATTGATTGCACGAATGAGGCCTAACAGTTTGGGGTCCAATGCCCCCCTCCGGTATGTGATGAGCTGAACATACCCTGTATGATTCCAGCTCAACATCCTGAGTCAGTGTCAAAGAGAAGCATTTGCAAAAAAGGCCAGGGATAGCACGTATATAATTCTGTATAATAGCTAAAACTACAACAATATTGAGGGTACCCCCAAATCATCCACCTTTAATAGGATTTTCCATTATAAATTATCCAGCCATTGGGGTACGGGTACCCCCATTTTAGGAAACCCCCATATGATATTGAAAACACTCGTAACCCGCCCATGTTTCCCCGGCACGTTGTTTCTTCCAGTCCTTGGGAAGCACAATGGCACTGGAGCGCACGGCGCACATGATCTGGGCGCCGGGCTTCTGCATCTGCATGTAGCCTGGCAGCGAAACCAGGTATCACACCAGGGGTCCTAAATCTGCGGAAGTTATGGGTAAGTAATTACCTTAAAATGGCTGGTTGATGGATAGTTGCTAATGATAGGATTTGACTTTTGACCCATCGCAAAGTAAGCCTTACTATTCCAGCCCTTGCCGAAGGGCCTGTGCATTCACCCAATCGAAGCTCCTTGGTGGTCTCCACTGTCCAGTCAACCAGCACCACGCAGAGCTGGATCTTGTCCGGATGCATCAAAGGAGAGCTGGCAATGGAGTAGCTCCTGGGTTTCAACACCGGCATCATCTGCAACAAGTGCTCAATGGGAGGTCGGGCGCTTGCAAACTTCTGCAGCACATCTGCATGGTGTGCAAAGTCTTGGGTCAGGTCGCGATAGAGGGCGGCTCCCTCCTTGCTGTTCTCGACAATGCTTTGCAGCTGCTTCTTTTCACCCTCATCCTTTGCAAAGAGCGCAAGAGTCTGGTAGAACTTTCGGTTCGGCTTTCCGAAAATATCAAGCACATGGGAGAAAAGCTGTCGTACACTCAGCTCCGTGGGGCACCAGTTGCGGGCTCCTTCCAAAGGAAGGACTCTCAGGTTCTGCGCAGGGTCAAAGCCCATCATCTGACAGAATTCCAAGACCTTGTCTTCTGGGTTGCGCGGCCAGATGGCCAGACTTTCACCAGTCTTGTAAGATACGTTGGTGCCCTCGATCTTAAATTCATAGTGACGAATGTCTCGATCATACTTGGCATCACCAGTCAGCACGTTGTTCGTGAGCAAAGTGAGTCGGTTGGCACCAGGTGGGATGATGTCGTCGTCACTTACAGGTGGCTTTCCCAGAGTACCTGGAGAGGCATCAACTCTGTAGGATGGGGCTGGAATGTCCTGGCTCAGTGGCAGGGCTGGGGCTCCGAGGACCTTCCAAAGCTCTGGCAACCAGGCTTCCCATCCAGTGTAGTAGCGATCCTCGTCACGGTCGTCTCCCACACCGCGCTTGAGCATGCGCTGACCACCAAGCTCACCCAAGCGCGTATCAAAGCCTGCTGCAGCCACACAGAACTGGCTGTAGGTTGAGTCGCCCAAGCCAAAGACGCAGAACTTCACACCTGACAGCCAAGACATTGGCAAGTCTGCCGACTGCAGCTTCAGCCAAGTCTGCTTGCAGTTGGCTGGGTACTCTCCCAATCCACAGGTGGAGACGACCAAAATCATGATCTTCTGATTGGGCAGCTCCTCAAATTCAAAGTCATCCAGCGAGCTCACCGTCGCCTTCAAACCACGAGCAATCAAATCTTGCATCAGATTCTTAGCCTGCTCCTCGGCATTGCCACTCTCACTGCCGTACAGCACAGTGATTGAATCTCCAGAGCTCTTGGCATCTGAAAGGCCTTCCACCAGCTTGCTGAATTGCCCTTCCAAATCCTCTTTGTTCAAAACCTGCAGCAAATGGTTCTTCTGAACCAGGTTCTCTTGCAACTTGTTGTCAAGCTCCTCTGCATGCTTAGGATCGCGACGCATCACTGCTGCAAAGCGGTTCTCCTGCGGGTTCAGGGGGTAACATGTTTGCAAGAAAATCCCCGTGGGGTGCACCCCACCCGGAGCCAAGGTTTTCCGCCAGAAAACGGGCAGAATCTCTAGTAACCAAGGTTCATGTGACCAGGGGCTGAAAAGGGGTACCTTACATTTCGGATATTTTTAAGATAAAGGCTGCCCCAACGGGAAAAACCTAGGTCCCAACATATCAACATAAAACCCAACAAAAGGCCAAAAACCGAAGGTGCTACAAAAGCACCTTTTTCTTGTTCCCCACGACCCCGCTCCCACACCATGGTTTAACCGAGCTTTGTCACTCCGCAATCTAGGCCCACCTCCACCCCGGAGTGCTGACAGCTTCTGACTTCAACCCCATTTGAATCTACAACCAAGATCCCAGCCCCCAGGTTTTTAGCCCGCTATTCAATCTTGTGGGGGAGAACAAAAATTTTATCGAATCATCATGGTTGCTCTAGATTTGTTTGACACAAGATACACAAGGAAAAGTCTTGACCCACGGCCATAAGGTTTTCACTCCAAAGTCTGCGCCCACCTCCACCCCTGAGTGCTGACAGCTTCTGACTTCAACCCAATTTGAATCTACAACCAAGATCTTTCAACATCTCTCACGCATCCTGTTCAAAATCTTCCTTCATGTTTGTGATGTGAGAAATATGTGTGATTTCTAATCTTGCATCATCATCGTCATCATCATCATCATCATCTGGGTCGAAAACGTGGGCACAACATGTTGGACTAGTTGTCCTCTAAAGGCGAAAAACCTGGGTCACCACAATACCATGAATTTTATAATCACCATGTTCCCGGGCTAAAAACCTAGAACCGTAAGATATAAGATACAAAAAAAAAGCTGAAAACATGGGGCACTAGATATCATATATATGTTGATATAAAGCTGGATAGGTTCTTCGCCCTTGTCATTGGGCGAAAATCATGGGTCTCTGGGCTATGGTTTTCAGCCAGGGACCCCCAACGGGGATCAAGAAAAGACATTCTTCGAGGCTTGAGACAAGCTAAACAGTCCGAAGATCCAGTCGTTGCATGCATATGGCGTATGGACAAAAGATTGCTGCAGTGACTTCTACTTTCTCCGACAGACATCATCCCTTTCAGCCAGGTCCTTGGCAAGGAACTTGAACAGATCGCCCTTGATCTTGCGGCTATCGAGCTGGAACGGATTGTTGCCATGTGCTGCCAACTCTGGGTTGTATCGGTAAAGAGGCCAGTAGCCGCTGTCCACTGCCATCTGGCAGTGCTGGATGGACTCGGCCATAGGGAAACCTTGACTGATGCACGGGCTGTATGCAAGGATGATGCTTGGTCCCGGATAGGCGTCGGCCTCAATCATAGCGCGGACTGCTTGCTGTGGGTTGACATGAACGCAAATGCTGGCCACGTAGACGTTCTTGTAGGTCATGGCCAACTGTCCCATGTCCTTCTTCTGCGTCAGCTTTCCACCCTCAGCGAACTTTGCCATGGCTCCCTTTGGTGTTGCTTTGGATGCCTGTCCACCAGTGTTGCTGTACATCTCCGTGTCAAGCACCAAGATGTTCACATGTTCCTCACTGGCAATGACGTGGTCCAAGCCACCATAGCCGATGTCGTAGGCCCAGCCGTCTCCGCCAACAATCCAGAAGCTGCTGCGGCCGAACATGTCTTCCCTAAGCAGTGGCAGTACTGAAACAGCATGAAATAAAGAAACACATGGCCAGCATAGGAACAGTCAATCCCAAAACATGCTAAAGCAGGCAAAACGACCGTAGACAAAGGGACCTGTGAAAGGTACGGATCTGAACAAATCCCAAGCCTAGCTGAGATCTGTTTTGAAACTGCACGTCGTGGTTCCTAATGAAGCTAAGATGCAAATCGTACAAGTTGTGGATCTTTGGGTGATCACCCTTCTCCTGCCACACGACAAGCCCTCCACTGAAGCGGCTATTGCATAAAAACGCTGCGAATCCAGAACCACTGGCAACAGGATAAGGCTGAGAGAACCCGAACATTAAATACCTTCACCGAATCAAAATAGCTGCCAAACCCATGACATCCTTGGGTGTTCCATCAATAGTTGGCAATTTTTGTTGGGGCCTCGAATTGGAAGGAAAGCCTTGGGGATAGGATGTGTCAAGCAAAAGACTTGACTGTAAGAACACCCGTGTCATGGAAAAAGGAGATGATCTGATGATGATATCATCAAATGATCCTTCAGTATTGTCAATGATGATCTGGCTCTGGTTCACACGGTCAAGGGAAAGGTTGAAGGGAAAACATACAGAAAATAATCAGAAAATCATGGTTCAACCCAATCAAAACATCAGGAGGGACCAACCCCATGAGACAGGCGAGACTTCCACTCACCTAGTTTCCTCTACCCCTAGTTTCCTTCTCGAGCAATGGCACAAGCTTCTCCATGATCTGGTGGTAGATACCTGCAACAGTTCATGCAATGGAACAAACAGCCATGCTACATACTTTGCAAACTTGGAAGCCCACAAATCAAGGACCCCAAACAAAATTAAAGGACCGGATAGCCCCACAAGTCAACTTCTTCCAATAATGTGAATGGAAATGAAAGAGGCCGAAAGAAGGAAGCAATTGAACATGCCAGACAAAGTGTAGTATGTGTAGTGGTGGTTGTAGTGGAGTTGTGTGTGACAAAGTTGTGTGTGACAAAGTTGTGTGGGAAAGATGGTGCGTATGACCGCATCTTTGAATGCAAATGACCAATCTAACTTGACTGACTAGTTGTAGTTGTGGTTGTAGTGGAGTTGTGTGTGTGACAAAGTTGTGTGTGACAGAGCTGTGTGGGAAAGATGGTGCGTGACAAAGTTGTGGGTGAAAGATGGTGTGCGACGAAGTTGTGTGAAAGATGGTGTGTGACAAAGTTGTGTGTGAAAGATGGTGTGTGAGATTGTACCACGCCTGCCACGTGAAACGACTAAACCGTCCCAAGCGCTTGACACAGTGCCATGAATGCCACGCCTGCCACGCAAGACGATGGTAGATGTGAGTTTGTGCCACGCCTGCCACGCAAAACGACGGTAGATGTGAGTTTGTGCCGCGCGTGCCACGCAAAGTGCCGCGGCGTCACGGGCGACGAAACCAAGACCAAGCGCGCTACCCAGTGCCATCAGTGCCACGCCTACTACGCAAAACGACGGTAGATGTGAGTTTGTGCCGCGCCTGCCACGCAAAGTGCCGCGGCGTCACGGGCGACTAAACCAAGACCAAGCAAGCCACCCAGTGCCATCAGTGTCACGCCTGCTACGCAAAACGATGGTAGATGTGAGTTTGTGCCACGCCTGCCACGCAAAACGACGGTAGATGTGAGTTTGTGCCGCGCCTGCCACGCAAAGTGCCGCGGCGTCACGGGCGACTAAACCAAGACCAAGCGCGGCACTCAGTGCCATCAGTGACACGCCTGCCACGCAAGACGATGGTAGATGTGAGTTTGTGCCACGCCTGCCACGCAAAACGACGGCAGATGTGAGTTTGTGCCGCGCCTGCCACGCAAAGTGCCGCGGCGTCACGGGCGACTAAACCAAGACCAAGCACGCCACCCAGTGCCATCAGTGCCACGCCTGCCACGCAAAACGATGGTAGATGTGAGTTTGTGCCACACCTGCCACGCAAAACGATGGTAGATGTGAGTTTGCGCCACGCCTGCCACGCAAAACGACGGTAGATGTGAGTTTGTGCCGCGCGTGCCACGCAAAGTGCCGCGGCGTCACGGGCGACTAAACCAAGACCAAGCGCGCCACCCAGTGCCATCAGTGCCACGCCTGCCACGCAAAACGATGTTAGATGAAAGTTTGTGCCACACCTGCCACGCAAGACGACGGTAGATGTGAGTTTGTGCCGCGCCTGCCACGCAAAGTGCCGCGGCGTCACGGGCGACTAAACCAAGACCAAGCGCGCTACCCAGTGCCATCAGTGCCACGCCTGCCACGCAAAACGATGGTAGATGTGAGTTTGTGCCACGCCTGCCACGCAAAACGATGGTAGATGTAAGCTTGTGCCACGCCTGCCACGCAAAACGACGGTAGATGAGTTTGTGCCGCGCGTGCCACGCAAAGTGCCGCGGCGTCACGGGCGACGAAACCAAGACCAAGCGCGCTACCCAGTGCCATCAGTGCCACGCCTGCCACGCAAAACGATGGTAGATGTGAGTTTGTGCCACGCCTGCCACTTAAAACGATGGTAGATGTAAGCTTGTGCCACGCCTGCCACGCAAAACGACGGTAGATGAGTTTGTGCCGCGCGTGCCACGCAAAGTGCCGCGGCGTCACGGGCGACGAAACCAAGACCAAGCGCGCCACCCAGTGCCATCAGTGCCACGCCTGCCACGACTAAACCAAGACCAAGCGCGCCACCCAGTGCCATCAGTGCCACGGCTGCCACGCAAAACGATGGTAGATGTGAGTTTGTGCCACGGCTGCCACGCAAAACGATGGTAGATGTGAGTTTGTGCCACGACTGCCACGGAAAACGACGGTAGATGTGAGTTTGTGCCGCGCCTGCCACGCAAAACGACGGCAGATGTGAGTTTGTGCCGCGCCTGCCACGCAAAGTTGTGTGTGAAAGATAGTTTGTGACAAAGTTGTATGTGAAAGATGGTGTGTGACAAAGGTGGGTGTGAAAGATGGTGTTTGACAAAGTTGTATGGGAAAGATGGTGGTTGACAAAGTTGTGTGTGAAAGATGGTGTGTGACAAAGCTGTATGTGAAAGATGGTGTGTGACAAAGTTGTGTGTGAAAGATGGTGTGTGACAAAGTTGTGTGTG